ATCTACCGAACCGGTTCGTCAAATCTACCGAACCGGTTCGTCAAATCTACCGAACCGGTTCGTCAAATCTACCGAACCGGTTCGTCAAATCTACCGAACCGGTTAGAAGAGGTTCCACCAGTGGACCCGGAAAGCAGGCCACACCTACAGAAGAGGTTCCAAACATTTTTGAAACCCACCACTGCCTGGAACCCAGTTTCGTAACCCTTGCAAATTTAATAAGCATTTTCTCTTGTCCCCCCCCCCTCCCTAAATCATTAATAGAAATAACAACCATCTGGGTTGGGCATTTTGAAGTTTTCAAAAATGTCCATTCAAATTCAATATAGAGGCAAGAAAAACAAAATATATAGGTATACATTTAAAAGTATAGTATATAGGCGGTACCTGGCTCAATAGTTATAACTGCAAGAAAGATAGACTAGAATAAAAGAGTTGGAAGGGACCTTGGAGGTCTTCTAGTCCAACCCCCTGCTTAGGCAGGAAACCCTACACCACTTCAGACAAATTGTTGTCCAATCTCTCCTTAAAAACTTCCAGTGTTGGAGCATTCACAACTTCTGGAGGCAAGTAGTTCCACTGGTTAATTGTTCTCTCTGTCAGGAAATAGGATCTTGGAGTCCTCCTGGACAATCACTTAAGTATGAGCCAGCCGTGCAGCTGCCAAAAAGGCCAACACAGTTCTAGGCTGCATAAACAGAAGGATAAGATCATGTGAAGTGTTAATATCACTTTATAATGGTTTGATAAGACCATACTAGAAATACGGCATCCAGTTTTGGTCACCACAATGTTTAAAAAATGTTGAGACTTTAGAAAGAGTGCAGAGAAGAGCAACAAAGAGGATTAGGGGACCAGAGGCTAAAACATATGAAGAACGGTTGCAGGAACTGAGTATGTCTAGTTTAATAGAAAGAAGGAGCAGGGGAGACATGATAGCAGTCTTCCAATATCTCAGGGGTTGCCACAAAGAAGAGGGAGTCAGGCTATTCTGCAAGGCACCTGAAGGACAAGAAGCAATGGGTGGAAACTAATCAAGGAGAGAAGCAACTTAGAACTGAGGAGAAATTTCCTGACAGTGAGAACAATTAATCAGTGGAACAGAAGTTGCCTCCAGAAGTTGTGAATGCCCCAACACTGGAATTCTTTAAGAAGATGTTGGAGAGCCATTCGTCTGAAGTGGTGTAGGGTTCCCTGCCTAAGCAGGGGGTTGGACTAGAAGACCTCCAAGGTCCCTTCCTACTCTGCTATTCTGTTAGTCCACCACCCTACTCAAGCATACCATTTCAGACAAGTGACTGTGCAGTCTCTTCTTAAAAACCTCCAATGATGATGTAAAATATGTAGAAAAGATGAGGAGACTCTAGAAAGAGTGCAGAGAAGAGCAACAAAGAGGATTAGGGGACCAGAGGCTAAAACATATGAAGAACGGATGCAGGAACTGGGTATGTCTAGTTTAATGAAAAGAAGGACTAGGGGAGACATGATAGCAGTCTTCCGATAACTCACGGGTTGCCACAAAGAAGAGGGAGACAAGCTATTCTCCAAAGCACCTGAGGGCAGGAGAATAGAATAGAATAGAATAGAATAGAATAGAATAGAATTCTTAATTGGAATTCTTAATTGAACACACAAGGAATTTGTCTTTGGTGCATATGCTGTAATAAAATATATTCATCAAGAATAAAACGATGCAACACTTAGTCAAGGTTACTAATAAGTTATCAAATCGTATTAGGAAACAATTAAAAACAATGTAATTTGAAAAGTACAAGCAACATGGTTGCAATCATAAGTTGGAAAAGACAGATACTAATAAGGAAGAGAAGAATAATAGTAATACAGTGTTAGTGTCAGGCCTGCAATTATATTCCTTTTAGAATTTTGGCCTGCCACACTTTCTCTTATTTCATTATGCTGTTTCATTAGTATAGTCGAAGGGAGGGGGAAATAGAAAGGAGTAGGATTGTGGAATGTATTGTTGTCATTCTTTTCTAGAAGACCAAGGTCATCTTTTGTCTCCGCACCTCGGCACCTGACCGGAAGCAGCTGGGTGTGGATGCCAGCGTGGAAGAAGAAGATTGGACCATGTGATGGATTTGTGGGTGTGGGGACAAGATCATGAACTTTTAACTGGGTGGGATTCTGACGTCATTTCCAGAATTGGGATTTACACAGATGTGCTAAGATGTCTGCTTTATTAAATTGGAACTTTAAGGATGGTTTTGCCTTGGACTCTGATTTAATTCTACATGATACTTGGAACGCTGACAGTTAGTACATTAGTTGACAGTGCTGTGGGAATTAGTTGTTTAAGCAGAGTGATGGCATTCGGGGGAAAAACTGAAGAAGCAATGGGTGGAAACTAATCAAGGAGAGAACTAAGGAGAAATTTCCTGACAGTTAGAACGATCAGTGGAACTGTTTGCCTCCATAAGTTGTGGGTAGCTTCAACACTGGAGGAGTTTAAGAAGAGATTTCTATGAAATGTTATAGGGTTCCCTGCTCGAGCATGGAGTTGGACTAGATGATTTCCAGGGTACCTTCCACTCTATTATTCTA